CATACACGTAGTTGTATGGCACCCCACGAAGCTGATTTTAGCTTAATCGAAGTTCCTATATTTCAGTTTGGAACATGTATTACTAGCATCAGTCTTCACAAATTATTGTACTTGAACACTCATACGATATTTAAGACAGAAATAACAAAACATTTAAATTCATAATACACAATGCAACTCTTTATATTGGGAAGTCAATACTGGTAAACAACATCAGTTATAGCAAAGTCCACAATGGAAATAGATCCTTATTACTAGATAGCCTTAATGGCCATAATAAACTAAAACACTTGAGCTTCACTTACGAAACATTTTTTTCAATGTGATATTTTGTATCTGCACACAGTTTATAAAATGTAAAGGAAGTGCTGTGTATTTAAGGTAATTAAAAGTAATTAAGTGACCTACCAGTACTACTCATGTAAGAGGTTAGGTACTTAGAGTTCTAAACGAATCTGACAGACGTACGGGGCGTCTAAAAGACTGCAAGGTTAAGCCTAAGTGGGTTAAACCCTTTCCACAACACGTGATACACACCAAATACCTCTTGTACAAAAGACACTTTGAGCCGAATGGTGTGATCAAAAATGACAAACCGATCGACTTATCTAGTAGGAGACACCAGATCTAGCAACGCTTTCAAAACTTGGGTATAGGGGAGAAGTATTAAAACTCAACAGGTGGCAGTGCCTGTACTCTAACACCCAGAACCTTAACACAGAAACACTGGTGTTTGAGTTGGGGCTCTGAGGGATGACAGGTCCATTCCTCCACATATATTTATTTTTACAGTGCATAATACTATCTACACCAACTTCTCTATTATGTATATGATGACGTCGTTCTTACTTCCCTGCTCTTAATTTCATTTTTGCATAGTTTAAAGAAGCTTAAAGCGCATATCACGCACGCGCGTGCATTACTCTTTTAATTATATAGATACGTAAAACTTGTTTTCATTTAAAAACAAAATAACTTTTTCTAAGTTACTTTCTTTGGTATTCCTGAACCTGTCTATATCTAATAATTTAAGTACTAGGAATAAACTGAAAAATATAAAACTTGTTTTATATTTATTACCATAACTGTTTTGTTATAACATGACAGGTTATATACAAGGAACTTGTTTATGTTTGATACCATAACTGTTTTTTTTTTATAATATGACAGGTTCGATACAAGAAACTTGTTTGTATTTGATACCATAACTGTTTTTTATAATATGACAGGTTCGATACAAGGAACTTTCTTAAGTTTGATACCATAACTGTTTTTTCATAATATGACAGGTTCTATACAAGAAACTTGTTTGTATTTGATACCATAACTGTTTTTTATAATATGACAGGTTCGATACAAGGAACTTGTTTGTATTTGATACCATAACTGTTTTTTTTTATAATATGACAGGTTCTAAACAAGGAACTTGTTTGTATTTGATACCATAACTGTTTTTTTTTATAATATGACAGGTTCTAAACAAGGAACTTGTTTGTATTTGATAC